TATTATTAAAGGCTTAAGAAGAAGATCTGATGATCTATCGCGGCTCAAGCCTCAAGACCAAGTCAAAATGTTCTACGGGAAAGCATTGTGTAAGTTTTTAACCTATAATTCCTAGTAATTTTACCCGGAGCAGGGAACTAACTACCTCTCAAATATAGCGGAGGAACACCTTAGAATCGCAGATATGACGGTTACGAAACCGGATGCGAACCACCCACTTATCTTACTAGAGAACTTCGACGACCTCACTGATAACATCACTTGCACCGACGAAGACTCTAAAATTGCCCTCAAATTTAAGAGCAAGGATGCGATGGATACTGCGATCAAGTCCTGGGACTGGGTCAACAAAGGCGATAGCGATTACTTCTTTCTGTTCACCCATCATCACCACACAGGTTGTGGCCCTGACGAAGAAAGAACCTCTTACAAGATTACCGCGGTTAATTACGATAGAGCTTCCCTTACAACTGTCCTAACGAAGGAGAAGGCGACATGGAATGAAACTCTCCAGAACTTCGAAATTAAGATTAGGACGGTCGAACACCCAAGACCCAGCTTCGTCAGAAGAGACTTCAGCAGTATTCTCCGCAGTGGTATCTGTGCGTTTTCCGGGCCTTTGGAGGAAATATTTAAATTCCAGTGTGAAGAGGAGGTGGAAAAGGGTATCGATACAGTCGGCGAAGGCCTCGATACCGTTGTTGATACTGTCGGTGAAGGTTTCGATAAGGTCGTTGATACAGTCGGCGATGGCATAAATGTTGTCGCTGATGTAGCAAGCACCGTTACTGGTTACGTCGAAGAAGGCCTGAAGCCAGTTGTCGATGTTGTCAGCAGTGGCCTCAACACCCTCCTAGAGAAGTTCGTTGACGGGAACTACAAGGTCACCTTTGGGAAAAAGGATCCTAAGAGCAGGATTAAACTCACAGGTGTCGCTTTCAGGGGAGATGTCGACGTCGACATGGGGGCTAACTGTGTCGGTTGTTACCTTGAGGGTGGTTTTGGTTTCAAAGCCACTATCTCCCGAGTCAACGGAGCAACCCTGCCCAGTGCTATCTTCGATATCAGCCCGCAGATCGAGGGAAACTTTGGCCTTGAGCTCATCGGTATAGTTTCCAAGGAGCACGACTACAACGCTGGCGCTGCGATCGGAAATGAGATCTTAAAGACTATGGGCATCGCTCCATTCCTTAAAATCGCACCAGAGGCCATTGTAGGCCCCGGTGTTGTATTAAGAGGCGAGGCTACTGTATCTACAACCATGGGAGCCCGTTTTAGCACAAAAGGCGCCCGAATCCGACTTGTTGCAGGCGCCGATCCCAGCATTTCCGTCCCATCTTGGCCCAAGGATGAGTTCAAACCACAGTTCGACTTCTCTGGTCCCGAATTCCAAGGAGAAATCAATCCTTACATGCGTCTCGGATTTGGTTTTGGCTTGGAGATCGCAGACACTGGTAAATTCGGTGTTTGGGGAGGTATTGATACCAGTGTCAATAACGTCTGGGCCTACAAAACCTGTGAGGGAGCCAAAGAAAAGACTTTCCACTACCAATCTATTTTCCAGGTTGCCGCAAAGGTCAACGTTGTCGCAGAGATTGAGACAGCTGTGGGAGGTGCCAATTTGTTGAAGGATAAGGCGAGAAAAGAAGTCAAAGATGGATTCATCAACGGCGCCATCGACACCATTACGAGAAAGATAGTAGGAGATTTGGCTGATGGCATCCCAATCTCGAATGCTACTCTCTACGATGGCTGCGAAGCACCTGCAGGTCAACAGACACCCGCTAGGGGTTCAGCAACTTTAAAACCAGCAGGAGCAACCACTGTGAAACTTATCGGCAGCTCCGGGCTACAGGTACCAACAGGAACGGCAATTTTTAGCAGCTCCAAGCCATTAGTGCCTACCGCAGTTTCAGCAAAGATATATGCAAGTGCGGCGAGTTCTTCGCGCCCAGTCTACGACGAATCGGATCTGGAGGTGGAAATATATTAATTTATGCGCGTACGACTAAGCCCAATAGACGATTGTATTGTTATGTATATTTAGTTATCTTAGCGTTTCCTGTTCTTAGTGCGCCTATAATGAAAATGAATTCAGTAAATTCTTTTTATCATTTCACCAATAACAGATACATTACGCAAATACTATAGGGGACTTGAGGTGTCTTCAAGGTGCAAATAGGCTTGAGAAAATCTGTCACACTCCATGGCCATGCGTTATATCTGCCATACACACGCTGGTGACTAGAGTTCTAGTAATTTTACAGAACCGACGGTTTATCAGTACTAGATCCCAAGCATCAGTGCCTATCCTTTGGTCGGAAACTATGAAAGCAACATAGTTAACGCGCAAAATAGCTCACCAAGTGACTTCCTATGTCATATATTGTAATATATCGTTATGACATTAGGACAGAGGATCCTAAAATGTCTAGACTGGCTCGCAAGCTAATGAATAGTAGCTAGCACAGCCATATATATGGCTATGCAGCAACTTTTAAACATTTAACTTCTAGTAATTAAGATTAGTGAATTGCGAAGGGTTTTACAGTCGGGGGGTCTGGGTACGAGACAAAGGGTTTTAGTCACCTGAAATACAAACATAATTATATAAAATTTAAAACGGTGCTCATTTTCGATTGGGCTTTAGAACTAGGGCATGGATAAGCGTAATTTGATTTACATCTAACTCTCTAACATATTTTCTATACAATAGCCTTTTGAGCTGTCCCAATTGCGCAATCAATTGTTTGGGTAGTGAGCCTAAATCTCTATTTGGCTTGTGGATATACACGGAGGTTAGATATTTGTTATACGGTAGCGGCTCTAGTCCGTAAAGAATTGGGTTATATACTTCTGTCGCAGGGATTCACAGGCTAAGAATTGGAAGATAGATCCGGGTCGAAAGTCCCCATCCGCCGATCAACATACGCAATGGAGCATCAGTAATTAAACACCCGATATAACTTTGCTCAATTAAGCTAGCCTAGGCGCCTTCTAGGAATAGATAAATCTTTATAAGAAGTGTCAAAGTCTCACCTGCAGCGACACTTGATTTATCTTGTTGATATCATGATGTTGATATGCGTATGTAGATATCATGATAATAGTATACTACATCTGTATAGACCTGGGTATCGATTGATGGAAATTAAATTTATATTGAGGTGGTACCGCGGTACACATCTGGAGCGCTTGTTAAGATGAGGCCTAGTTAATAATGTTGCCTGAAGAACAATAATATATCCTGTCGACATGTCATGAGGCCGGGCTAATAGACCCGTTATACAACATACAAACTTGCCAATAGTAATTAACGTGAGCGAACTGGCGCTCCACGGATCCAGACCTGCAGGCCAAATCAGCCCATATTCCGAGACGAGTTAAGCCAATACTAATATAGATGCCTAACTACAACGTATATTCTTATCGATAGTTTTAGATAATATTCTAAAGATTGCTGCAAATGTTATTCTAGGATAAGCAATGGCTGATTGATCCGGATCAAACACGGCGACCTCGAAGTTGAAGCCCTAAACTCCTGGAATTTTCTTGTATAGCTCAGCCCCAAACATGATATTGAATCGTTGAGTGAGCTATAATACCCATGCGCGTGCCTGGGTCTAGTAACACGGCTAAACACAGAACCAGAATAAACCAACCGCGATCATGCCCTAACGCGCCATGGTTCCATTTTCAAGCCGATGCCCGGAAAATATTGGCAAGTAACATAAGCATTTATACTCTGGTGTTATAGAACATAGAAGGGTAGCATAGAAAAGTCCTTCGTATTCGCCTTTCTGTTTTATCGGTCCCTTGCTGAAACGAGTGCGGTATCTCTGGAATGTGGAGTAAATTCCATAAAGCCCCACCAACGAAACCCGGCCAATTACACAGAAACTCACAAGCTATAGCCGGGGGAACGTGGCTTCAAAAGGGGCTCGCCTCCGAAATTCACAGCTATCCGTTTCGAGCTTCCCCAGAAAAGGTGAAAGAGGAGTCCATGATCATCAGGAACCTGTTTAATTCAATTTAATTTTTTTTTTTTGTTGACGGGAAAAAGTGACGGACAAAATCCCGCTGCAGATCTTGGTTCATGGCTTCTAAATCTGGGGGGTTACGTTTCTGGTCAATTACGATATGACGATTGGCTGGGCCAAGAAAGCACAAACCACTCAATGGGCAGAGATATTCATTTTGAGTTGCGCGGGTAGCCTCTCCGCACGGGAAGGGTGAAGAGAGGTTTTGGATAACCGAAGAGTGAAGCGAAGGTTGAGTGGCTTTTGTGATTCTCTATGCAGATGCAATCAGTGATCACGGTGCAGTTTGGCCAATGGGCAACATGTATGTGCTGCGGAGTAGATTTACGGATTTAAGGGCATGCCGAGCCATGTCTACTGTGTATGTACTCGCCCGAGGATTCTGATCCGAAGTTGGACCTCGCAAAAGCACATGTCGACTCCATTTCCGAGCTTCAAAATGAGAAACATTAGTTCGCATGCTATAGTTATGCGCATATGCGCAAACCTTTCGCGTTATTTGATGCTGGCATGATGGGGAAAAAAATGTGCTCTTCAGCCTCCGTGATCCACTCAACTTCAATATTCCGCAAGCTTATAACCAGCACGGGAAGGGTATCCCTGATTGAAAGAGACCTCTCCGAGATTTGTCTTTTCTCCAAATATATTTCGGTATCGTAAAAGGGGAAAACCTATCCTCCTCAAATTGCGTCGTATTTCCTGAACTTTGTTCTACGGAATTCGAGGAGCACAAAGCGCACCAGCTGCGGATTACCATTTCTTTCGTTATTTCTTTACCTCTTTTTCTTTTCTTTTTTTCCCCCTTAGCAGTGGGCCAAGACAAGATGTGGATTTGGGCTAGCCTTGAGTCTTGGGGGCTCTTTGCATGATCGCGAAAGTTCCTCTAGCTTCGTATTGGCATCAAACTTGATAGATGGTTGATGATGGACCCAAACAAAAATGAAAGCATCGGAATTAAGCTGACCATGTATGGAATCGAACCATACCCTCCGGTTTCATATCCCGGCGTGCACACCAGTACACCACAAGGTCTTTTTTTTTTTCAAAACTATATCACGATAGCTGACCTTTTGAAGGCGATATCAAAATTTCTAAGCCAGCTGCAAAAGTCGGCTTGAAAACGAAGACATTAGCAAACCGAGAATTCAGGATGTTTTTCTGCCGTGAAACCCGAACATTTGAGCGTTGGTCCCTTCCGCTTGATTCAGAATTATTCCGCGCGAGACGGGATGTAATGTATAATTAGCCTCGAATTTGGGGCCAACCATCATTCGTTCACCTGCAGACAGGCTTCCTGCAGGTACAACCTTTGTGCGTCGCTGGTTTGGGGCAGCTGATACGCCATTTTTCTTTCCGTTTGTGCAACGCGCACACGAAATAGTGTTGGGAAGCGGCGATTGGGCTTGCATAATACTCCGCGTTATCAAGTAATACGGCATGATATGCTTTGTGTCCCTTTTGGTATGCATGGTAGCGAGCATGTGATGGAGTTGACAAGATGCCCTCGCCATCGGTTTCTTGGGAGTACCTCCGTGTATTTTAGAAGAAGGCTGAGATCCCGGGTATTGGAAAGGCAGGAAACTCGAGATGTGGCTTAAGATTTGTGGAGCGAAGCCAACCGAGCCAGCCAATGGATCGTTTAGTGGAGCGAAACATCTGTCTGATGATATCATGATCTCGGGAGGGCAAGAAGGTCTAGATCAAATCTACAGCCGGGACGGATGACGAACGGCGTTGGCAGCGGGCATTAACGAGCTGAATTAAAATCGAAGCATTTTATTTGACAGAAGGTTGAACGTGAGGCGGGTATTAAAATGAGACAAGCTGTCAGCGGCAGCATTCATCGATTGTCTGATCATTACATATAATTATATTAGTGCAGCTGAACGGATGAGATATGTAATAATGCCGTGCAAACATTTGAGGCTGCAAGCTACCATCGAGGTATGCGTATACGATCATAAAGATTTCTATAGCCAGTATATTATGAAATAAAAGTCTCTTCCTCAATACAGACAGGTAAAAACATACAGGGCCTACGGGCCACATGCTGAATCCAATCTCGTAGCCTGCATCATTTCTGTGTCCCATTTATATCATGCCCCGATTTTCCCAAAGTCCATTTGTTCCTCCCTTGCCTTGGCGACAGCTGCTTGCTTTTCTCGCCATCTTCTCCTGTATAAAAGTGATGCGACGAGACCTATTAGTGCGAAGACAACCACGCCAACCACGACACCAGCGGCAACTATGCCGGGTTTTATGGTGCCACCATCGGAATTATCCGAAGACCCCTCTGAAGCTTGGCTTGAAGAAGAGGTCGAGGCGGCCGGAGCGGCATCAGATGTTTCAGTTAAGGATTCTGCTGAAGTTGATGTCGGAGTTTTGGTTGTGAAGGTTGAGCTTGGTGGTTCCGTTGTGACACTGCTCTCTTCAGCTGTACTTGTTGGCTGGGCGGTTGATGTTTTAGCTACGGTAGATGTCCTAGGTGGGGCCGTAGTTTCCGGGTGTGATTCCGATTTACTCGGTTTCGGCGCTGTCGTTGGCTCGGGATCATCTTCGCCCTCGTCCGATTTTGTGGGTTTCGCAGGTATGCTTGTAGGTGCGACTGTGGGAGCAGTGGTGGGTGTGGAAGCATCGGTACTACTGCTTTTGCACGAGTCCTCGTCACCGAAGAAGCATTTTACACCATCTGTCGCGGGGTCCCACGCCGATTTGATGTCGTCAAAGAAACCAGCTTGGACGACTTTACCGGAAATAAGAAGGAGCGGGAAGAGGAGCTGGGCGCTGAGTAGCATCTTATTACTATTTTATTTTATTTTTATTGTTCCTCTTTCTGTTTTTGAAAATGGAAAAAAAAAAGAAAGAAAGAGAGAAGGAAAATACAAAGATACAAAAAGAGAGAAAGCCGCTTTGAGATATGTGGCTAAACTAAGTGAGTGGAATTGGAGATGGCCAGTGAGCCAGCTCGATGCTTGGGATATGAAGCTTAAAAGGAAGGTCTGATCGAAATAAATATCTCGATGTTGGAAATAGCCGGTGGTAGAGAGCAACGTGCCACTCTTCTACATGCGATTGACGCGCGCACAAAAAAGCGTCGATGGATGGAAGAGGCTGAATTGGTTTACGATGTTTCTATGTATTGCAAGATTTCGCTTTGGGTGTTTTAGGTTTGGAAAAGGGGTCCTCGAAAACGCCTCGGTCAAATCTCTGGGCCTGGGTGCGCGGCTGGTGGTGGAAAGCGATTGGGGAACATGTGTGAGCTGGGCCAGGCGGCCAATCAAACAGCCACGCCTTGTCCCACACCGACGGATATCCAACGTTAGTTGGGCCGTTGCCTTGATGACTACAAGTACCCCATCCCAGTGTTTGTTTCTTTGGGTAATACTGTAGGAAGGGCGCCTTTTGGAGGGTGTATAGTGCATGAGGAGGTTTTTCTTAATTTAGGTTGCGCACGCAGTAGTGCGGCAAAGACGTGGCTATCGATTGATTGATCGGTTTTGTCATTTAAATCTACTCAGTAAACAGAACTGTCAGGTCGAATGCCATATAAAGCGCGCGTGTGGTAAGTTTCTGGATGTCAAAGGTTGGATTTGAGCGTCCTCTAGGAACACATCTATGGCGTGACAATGGACATGTTCGTGTGTATATATGCCCACATATACCTCGAATGTTGGTACATATGTAATCGTTGCATGCCCTGAATGTCGATTCCTGTGTACCAATGGTTGCCTCGAGATCGAAAGACTTTGAATGGCCCGGCGCGCAGGCACTCCCATCAAATGAACAAACTACAAACCTTTTGGGCAAACGGCAGGCGCAGGCTGAGTGCTTGGGGGATTGGGAGCCAACAGCCGTGCTGTGTTCCATGAGGTCACTGGCCCTCCCCTGTTAATTGTCCATAGCTGGACCCTTGTCAGCAGCTCAGGTACCAGGGCAGGGCCTGGAGCAAAGTCCAGGCACTTCTTCCTATCCTGGACTCCCCTGAACCGTAGGCGACACCGGATCGTGCAAAAGGAGAAAGACCTGGGATTTCCATCGTTGTCGGTCGTGTTTTCACAGGGGCCGACTCAGGCAGTTGCATCCCAAGGTCTCGTGGATGTCGACAGAGATCCTTCGAAACAGTCGTCATTGAACTACCATCGGTGCATGAACGACGGGCAACAACTGCCTTTTCGATGCAGGATCCCGCAGACCTGGGTCTTCGTGGGCCTGTTGGTGCTATCGGATCGATAAATTTGATTCTGATAAATTTGATTGAGAGATAATACCAAACCGAAAGCGGAGGCTTTCAAGCCTGTTATCCAATTGTGAGGTTGGCCGAGACAGCCTGCTGCCCCACCCGCCTGTCAGTTTCAATTTATCGAGGTCGTCCAACAAAGACTAGTGACGAGAGGGTAACTATCCTTAACATTGTCTTTTATACCCTTTTCGCCTCCCCCCCCACGGCTGGGGAATTCTGAAAGAACAAAAGAACAAATAAAAGGAAAGCAGGAAGAAAGAACGGCCGGGCGAAAGAAAGAAGTTTTGTTCTGGCGACCGGGCAAGGGTCTTTTTTTTTTTTTTTTTACATTGGTACGAGGGGCCTGGGATTCGATCGTTGATGGGTCTGGTGAGGGTTGACCACCATTCAGTCTTCAATCTTCAATCTTCAATCTTCTCCTTCTTCCTCATTTTCCTCCACCACATCAACATCAATCAAACATTCAACCATCATCGCCGTCGCCCTGCTATAACCACCACCAGCATCACTGTCTTTACCGACACTTGCAGCCGTCGCCATTGTTGTTTCATCTCCTTCCGCAACTTCGGTGCGAGTATGGGTTTGTCCACAGGTCACATGAATTCTTTGCTTCTGTAGCACGACGCACTGCACTGCCATGCGACCTGATCGATAACACGACTAATCATTACTCCACCTTCACTTCACCACTACACCACTACCACTACCACTGCCACTGCCACTACCACATCAGCACCAGTTGTATCCTTCCTGTGCCTCCAAACAGCGCACACATTCGGTATGTCTTGGGTTTATCAAGTAGCTTGCTACGATGAATTTTGAATTTCTCAATCCTTCTCTCAAATTTGGTTGTTTGTGGCTCTCGCTAGACCTTCCGGTCCTTGTTACCCGTTCTCCGGTCCCGTCGATGTGGTGGCTGCCGAAGGACATCTTCGAGCTTATCCCCACCAATGTTTATCGGGTTGCATTCTATCTGGTCTGGTCCAACATGACTACAACTGTCCAACAGAAGTATCCGGGACTGGAGTAAGACACCAGGGGCATATAGTGTTGGCGCGCATATCTCCAGTTTCGCGAAATGCATAGATGACCTACATATAAAATTCAAACGGGCTTTTTTTTTTTTTTTTTTTTTTTCCCTCCCTATGCGTATCCTCACCATATCTGCCCGTTTGTGTTCTGTCTTATGCCATTTCCTGCATGGTATTATTATCGTCGTTATTATTATCCGTTGGGATCTCGGGCTGGCTTTGCTATATTTGCACCGTGCATCCACATGCCCGACGCCTTGCATCTGCACGAATATGACCCTACATTTGTGTGTCTGCAAGCCAAGTAGTAGTGTCGACGGCGAACCAATCTGGGGTGGAAGCTGGTGCCTGCACAGACCCAACGCTGTGACATCCTTCCCATACCCTGTTCTCCCCGTTCTTGCCTCTTCTCCATAAGGTCAAAAGGCCTGTGAAATCCAGATCTAATTTTCTTTCTTTGTACTTTCAATCTCTTCTTATTCCTTTGCCGTGCTCGTCGACCGATGCTAGATCACGACTCAGTGATCAGGTGGAGCCTAACTTCCTGCAGCAAGCCTATTCGCCTAATACTGACTAAATTTTTGAGCTAGATCTCTTTTTCCCCTTTTTCCCCAGTTCGAAATCCTTGGATAGCGAACGCCCTTATTTATCGATTTTATCCATAGACTGGCCGAACCACCCTGGTAATACCTCATCGCTCGTGCAAGCATCGAGCCTTACGATCGCGAAAACCTATCAGTTCTCCTATTCATTTATTCAAT